CCGTGGGCAGCGCTGGTCGGGAAGAGGGACCTTACCTGTCCAGTGGCCAAAGGACTGATATGCAGGTGGAGGCTGCTGGTCACCTGGCCCACCACGAAGGTCTGGTGGAGAACCTCTGCTGTCAGCTGTGACACAGTGATGGGGTAGAAGTTGCTGTTGGAGATGTTCAGGATGTTCTGGAGGGGACGGCAGGGAAAAGGAAGGGTGAGCATGGCTCCCCTTCCGGAGACCATGCGCAGCTGCAGAAGCCTGGCTCTTTGGCCTCAGTCCCATCCTACCCTGTGGGCCTCGGCACAAAGGACTAGTATGAGTGACTCAGAAGGCTCTTGATGGCAAAGGTCACCCTTAAGGAGGAACACTGAGTCGGGTCCCGTGGTGCACCCTGTTGTTTATACTCTTCGGCTCTTTTGGGGGGCCCAACCACCCAGCTCCCAAATAAATCACATGGAGTCTTCTTATTCTTTCTTAGGAATGCCTGAACTTAGCTTGGCTTATTTCTAGCCAGCTTTTCTTAACTTATATTTTCCTGTCTATCTTTTGCCTCTGGGCTTGTATCTTTTTTCTTTACTTCTTACTCCATAGCTTGCTGTGTTGCTGGGTGACTGGCCCCCCAATGACTTCCTCCTTTCCTCTTTCTTTTTTTTTTTAAAAGGGTAGATTACTGAATCTACTTCTTTTTGAAGACTTTATTTATTTATTATGTATCCAACATTCTGCCTCCATGTATGCCTGCAGGCCAGAAGAGGGCGCCAGATCTCATTACAGATGGCTGTGAGCCACCATGTGGTTGCTGGGAATTGAACTCAGAACCTCTGGAAGAGCAGCCAGTGATCTTAACCACTGAGCCACCTCTCCAGCCCCCTTTCCTCTTTCTTGCTCCTCAATCTTTCCTTCCCAGATTTCTCCTCCTTTTTTATTCTCTCTGCCTGCCAGCCCTGCCTATCCCGTCTCCTGCCTAGCTGTTGGCCAGTCAGTTCTTTATTAGACCAATCAAGTGTTTTAGACAGGCAAAGCTTCACAGAGTTACAACAAATGCAACATAAAAAGAATGCAACACGTCTTTGCATCATTAAAACAAATGTTCCACAGCATAAACAAATGGAATACATCTTAAAACCCATATTCCATAACACAAACCCATGGTCCCAGTTACTCTGGGAGGCACAGAGGATTACTTGAGCCCAGGAATTCAAGACCAACCTGGGCAACATAGTAAAACCCCATCAATCAAAGTTTGTTAGCTGAGGATCCAGTTTTGTCCTGCTCTGTTTCTCTTCATTCTGTCCTGACATCCCTATTCCAACCAATGACTGATCTGGTCCAGATTCTAACCCTTCACTATGCAGAGTCCCAGTCCATATAACCTACTATGGCGTTCATGTTGCCTCTCAGCAGTCTTCTGCACACCCCAAGATCCTTGGTACCTACACCTGAGGCTACAAGGAAGATGGGAGTGTTTTGGAGACGTTAGGGGTGAGATCAAAAGTGCCTACCACCTACCGTCATGTTGAGTTGTATATGGCTGTCATCAAAGGCCACCATGGAGGAGTTGAGGCCTACAGGATACACGATAATGGGCCGTGGATACAGGAAAAAGATGGTGACGGAGAATGTCAGCAGACAGATGATCACTGCCAGGAACACGGAGAGCTTCCTGTGTGAGAGCAGGCCCCGGGATGGAGGAGAGAAGTCTTGAGAACACCAGGGAAATCTGAGGAGGGTATTTAGACCCCTCTCTCCAGACAGGTGGCTCCTTCTTGCACACAGTCCGGCAACTGCACACTTAGCTCTCTAGCTAGGGTTCAGCACAGGATTGGAAGGCTGTCAAAGGGCTTCCATTCCCAGATCTCTGTCTTCATTGACCCAATAATGCTGAGTGGTACTACTTAACCTTTTCAAAAGCCCAGTATGTCTGCACAGTGAAGCTAATTAGATCTGTTTCATAGAATTTCCTGTGAGTCAGCGGAGGAAAAGAACTAATCATGGTTCCTGGCAGACAGCAAGACCTCAATAAATGCTACTATCACCACTAAAAACCAGTCTACGTGACTCTGAGAGCTCTGAATTTTAATACTTAATTCAATTCAGTACTTAGAACAGGATACTATCTACCCATACAATTCAATCTGAGATATGAATTAAAAGGAAAGAACCTAGTATTTTATGAGGGACATTGCTTGTTTCTACTTTTATTACATTTATTCATTCTGTTTTGTTTTTTTAAAGTGTTCTGTCTGCATGTATCTCTCCGAGCCAGAAGAGGGCACCAGATCTCATTACAGATGGTTGTGAGCCACCGTGTGGTTGCTGGGGATTAAACTCAGGACCTCTGGAAGAGCAGTCAGTGACCTTAACCTCTGAGCCATCTCTCCAGCCCCACATTTATTTATTTATTTTGTATGTGTGTGGAGGCCAGAGGGCAGCCTTTGGGAGTTCCCTCGTGCTTACCATATGATCATGGAGTTTGAACTCAGGTCATCAGGCTAGGCGGCAAGCACCTCTACCTGCTAAGCCATCTCCTGGGATGGTTTCTGCTTTTTTAGTCCAGTGGCTGGGGAGGCTGGGCAACAGTTCGCAGGCAGAACTGAGGGTCTTTGGAGCAGGTTGCAGGAACCCATGTCAAATGGACACGGATCACATACAGGGTTCAGGGGCAATGCATTGAAACCTGGGGCTGCTTCTGAGGTTCTGAGCTGTCCCAGAATGAGATCTGAGCAGCTGGTTTTCTACCTCTGCTGGGAAGAACACAAGATCTAAACTGCTATAGGAAAGGTAGCTGCATCCAGGGCAACTTGTTCCCTCCTGGAAAGATTTACACAGGAATGAAATGGCTGGCCTCAGCTGCTATCTGCTGCGATCTATGTGGTCTTTTTTTATTGTTAAGTTATATTTTGACTGACATATAAGTGTACATATTTATGGGGTTTGATATGCCAATATATGTTGTCTACATTGTGAATCAAGGGTAATTAGCAAAACTGACATTTATCTTCTCCCCCCATCTATCTTTTCTTTGCTAGAGCCCAAACCCAGTGCCTCATGCATGCTAGCTAAACAAACACACTATCAGTGAGTCACAATCCCCGGCTGCTGCCACTAGCATTCAGAAACAAGGACAATCCTGGGGAACTTGAAGGTAGTATAAGTTTAATCACAGTGAGACTTGGGACTTTCTGGATGAAAGCCAATCGGGGAGCTGGGTGAGGCAGCCCCTAGGGCTGTAGGACACTCACGTGTGTCTGGGCTTCAGCCTTTGGTCTCCGTAAGGGATGAGGGCTACCAGCTGCTTCTCTAGTTCTGCAGAGGGAAAGAGGGTGAGAGAGAACGCCAAGAAGTGTCCCTGACGAGTATTTCCCATGCTAGCCTCCCCCAGGCATTCCTCCGCTCCATCTGGCAGGGCTAGAAGCATGATGCTATCCCACGGCAGGACTGGGAACACTGGCGAAGTTGGCAGCTCAGCGTTCAACTAGAAAAGGAATGTGATTTCCATGACCAGGTGTGGAGAAACACAGTGTTATTAGCTAGCCAGAGGCTCCCTATTCGTTTGGAGAGGACATTTTTTAACTTCCCGAATCCTAAGACACAGTCTTGTTTGAGGAGCAGAGGGATAAGTAACTTTCCTCTTGGTCTGGGGAACTGAACTCTGTGGCAGGATCTGGAGATTTCCCCTCGGCCAGTCTGAGACTGTGAGCATGAACTGGGCTGGATTCCAGGAGAATCCACAGGCTCAGGGCTGGATCTCCCCCTGGTTTCTAGGGTATTACTTCCAGAGCCTTGGGCTTACTCACCGTGGGAGATCTCCCCATGGCCTTGGCAGGTAGGACAAGTCACAAAGCTGGTACCAGCAGCCCTGGCGTAAAGCACACCGGAGCCCGGTGGTTTGTTGCTACCCGTGCTGAAGTAGTTGGCAGTCTTGCTGGCAAGGGCTGAGTTATCAGATAGGATCGACTTGTCCTCATCCTGCTGAGAGGTGAGCTGGGAGAATGTCTTACCCATAGCTCAGTAGGGTTTTTCACTAATGAGAAATAAAACAAGATGCAGTGCTATTAGCCTGTTTACGTTTTTTCAAGGTTGGCAAGAAGCCCTACCATTATCTAAGCAAGCTTTAGTTTAGAGAAGAGGGGTTTGGGCGGTGCCTTGGGGCTTTTTTTTTTTTTTTTTTTAAAAAAAACTAAGAGTTCAAATCAGAGAAAACCAAAGAAAAGCAGAAGTTATTTCACTTTTAAGGGTCTTCCATGAGTGAACGTAGAATATCTTCCCAGGAAGAACTGAACTATCATTTATTTCAAAGAAAGAGAAGCTGGGTAGCTGGGAGAGGGGAGCACAGGAGTCACATAGTCCCTCTGTCCTTCCTAACCAGTGATTACTCTGCAGGAATCCGGACAGAAATGCCTGAAGTCAGCTTGTGAGTGCAGAAAAGAGGCTTTCATTCTGGAATCTTCTCAAATAAGTGATCAGACCTGTGGCTAAGAAGCCGTTTGGAACGGAACTGGGAGGGAGCCTAAATATGTTCTTTACTGATTTCTGAAGAACACAGTCACATTTGAGTCTGTTCTTCGTCAGAAAAGGTCGAGGCTAAATCTGTACTTTCCCCCAAAGCCCTGAGTAGTGGTTGGAATGAAGCGGTTCATTAGGACACCCTTAGATCTTCCTGGGCTAAAATGAAGACACCATACTCACCTGGTTTAGGTCTGAAATTTCAGGCTCTTCTCAGCTGCAAGATTGGGTTTTCTGGAATGCTCCTTTGGGGAGAAGGGCTTCTAGGGTGGAGTGCCCCCCCCCCCCGGCGGGGGCGATCGGCTCCTTTCACCGGAGACCTGGGAGAATGAGCGGCAAGTGGGGAGCAGGGATGATTGCTTCCAGGAGCCAAGCTTCCCTTTCTACTAGGGGACTCTGCCAAGGGCCATCATCATGTGGGCAAGGAAGGAAAAGGCAGGACTTATTGGGGAAGGATTTTAAATCCCACCACACTGGCCGTTAGTCGAATTTGGGCATTGTGCGTTGGGCGCTGAGAACGCACAAACGTCCCTGGCCTCTTGCTTAGTAAAGGGAAAGGAGCGGGTAGGGGTCCCCGAGCGCCTTACCCCAAGGAGACAACGCCCTCAGTATAATCGAAACTGCGGGAGCTGCGCTCTCAGCACAAGCTTGGAGTCCAATCCAAGCTTGGCCCCGCCCCCGGCCCCGCCCTCTCCCCCAAGGGCCCGCCACTGGAAGGCGCTTCCGGCTCCGTGATTCTCAAGGGAAGACAAATACTACAAGGACCAACTAGTCCAGGTAAGCGTTTCAAAGAACCTTTATTCACAATTCTTTAAGTGCCTATGTACAAGTACAACGGAACGAACGACTGGACCCAGATGGTCAAGACAGGTCCGACTCCAGATCCACCTCATTACCCACACCGTGCGGCTTCGCGTCTACCCCAAATTCCATGAAGACGTTTTAAATAATAAACATCCTAGTTGGCTTGCAGTGTGAATTGTGCTTTATTTAGAAGCATTCAAGAGTTAGACTGTAAATAATACAGATTATGAGTAATTAAGATCGCCATTATAAATATCAACTAAGTTAAATAATACTATATAACTAACTCTCCCCCTTTGAGCTGGAGTCCAGATTCCGTCTCTTAAACTCTTACCACAAATAAAGTCTTTAGTGTTTTGTTACCTCTTTCACCACCTGTACCCAAAGCTCTCTTTGATAAACTAAATGAGACCTAGAATTCTGTAAGCAAGCTTCTTCCCATTTATCTCAGAGTTAAACTAAGCTTTTGGTGGGTTAGCCCCATCCACTACTTCTTGTCTCTCTAGGGCTGGATACTTCAGAAGAGGATTACAAACATTCAGAAGTCACCAGCATTTCCTTGTGTCCTCACCCACACCTGAACCATACCAAGATGAATGTTTACACGTGTCTGTTCTAAAGATCTGTTGACAGTCACAAAAAAGATGACTTAAACTTACCTTTCCCTTTATCTACCTAGCAGGTGGGTTTTTACCTTCTCTATACGGATTAGCCAAATATTTCACACTACCTAGGGTTTTTCCTTAAATAAAACTTTATGCAAAATCACTCCAACAAACACTGCTCGTAGGTGCTGGTGGGTGGACTAGCACGCCCTTCTGTCCTCCGAGGTTCCTGCCAGGCGGATGGACACTCAACTGCACCATGGAGTTCTTCTGAAAGCCAAGTTACTTATTGACTAAATCTCACAGGGAAATGACTTATTTGATCTGCTGTCCTTTAAGGTCATGTAGCTATGAAGCTTGGAGTTGGTTATAGAAATTAGACTAATTCTTGAAAATGGTCAATGTTAATCTTTAAAAAATAAAAACCAAACTAACATTTAACAGCCCATTAAAAACATCCACATGGAACAAAGGAAAATACTCAGCTTCAGTACAAGCAAAGGAAAAGCAGTCTACAGGAAGTCCAAGTAATACACTTCCACACACGACAGTGGAGCATCCTGTCCACGTCAGCTGAAAACTCTCTCCCACTCATCCCATTTCTAAAAGGAAAATTTAAGTTCTGGTCTTTGATTTGCTTCAAAAAATACTGTAACAGGCATTGTTTTGACAATTCAGTGACAATATAGATTCATAAGATTAAAAAACAAGCAAGGGCTTCCACCCACACCTCAACGACAGAAAAAGATCATCTCTGAGCAGCAGGCAGTTATTTAATACAAGGTGAGTCCTTAGTAGCGGTGGCTGTACCAGTCGTTGTTGTTGATGTGAAGCAGCTCTGTCACAACCTGCAGGATATTGTAGTTGTATTTCTTCAGCAGCCTCAGGTTCAGCTGCCTGTCGCAGAATCCCATTTCAAAGAGATGGGCCATCAAGGCTGCTGTCTGATCTTCAGAAACGATGGGCTGTGCAAAGTAAGAAGTAGACATTTTCTGCATAATTTAATCGCTTATCTTGTAAATCTTTTTTTTTTTTTTTTTTTTTTTGGTTTTTCGAGACAGGGTTTCTCTGTGGCTTTGGAGCCTGTCCTGGAACTAGCTCTGTAGACCAGGCTGGTCTCGAACTCACAGAGATCCGCCAGCCTCTGCCTCCTGAGTGCTGGGATTAAAGGCGTGCGCCACCATCGCCCGGCCTTGTAAATCTTTATTACACGGTCATCCTAGTCTTTCCTGATTTACAATGTTAGGTGATAAGAAGCAAGGGTACAGGCCTTCCTCTCTCCCTGACAGGTCAGCAGCGCTCTGGCTAGGAATACGCACTAGGAGAGGGGGGACAGAGGAGGAGAAGCTTCTGAGGACTTAATGAAAGCAGCATGCTTAGGCCTGGTGGCTCATACCTGCGATTCTAGCTTGGGAAAAGATCCTAAGTTTGAGGCTAGCTAGGGCTCTGTAGAGTGAGCCCTTATCTTTAAAACCCAAACACACACACACACACACCACCCATTATTCAGCCAAGTAAAAATTGAAGTGCAAGATGAAAAGAAGCCTTGAGGACTTGTGAACATAAAATTGTGGTGCTAGGGCAAATATGAGCAAGAGAGATGTACTCAAGAGGGCATGGGATGATAGGAAACTACCAGGTATGCAAGCAAGATGGATACAGAATTGGGAAATTATTACCCTCAGAATAGACGTGATCTCATTAAGATAAGGCTAACACCCATTTATGGAAATTCCCACCCTCCCCATTTTGAGACTGGGTTATCTTGGAACTACTTAGACTAGGCTGTCCTTGAACTCAGAGATGCTGCCTCCATCTGACATAAGCCAGACATGTGCTTTGCCACTGAGCTATAACCCCGGTCCCTCTCTGCTTATTTAGAGCAGTCTAACCTAACTATCACCTTGAAGGTTTAATCTACTCATACTTTACAGTTCTTTTTACCTTTACCACTCAGAAATTTCCCCCTCATCGGTATTGACAACATCACTCAGCTAGGCTAGTCAACCTCAAGTCTCTCCTCTAAGCACTTCCTTCTGCCTTATGCAGACTGGTGTTTACTTTCCTTCCTCCATGTTGCTAGCTTTGGAAAGTGAGGCGCACTTAACTTTCAGATTCCTTACCACTGGGTCACAGCTCTCTGCAGCATTTGGCACTGCCTACTGTCCCTTTATGGAGCTCCCCAAGTCCCAGCATCGGCCCTGTTTCCCTCTAAGTTTTGTTTTTGTAGAGTTCTGTTGCCTTGATCCTTAAAGGCTGCTTCTGCCTTCTCCATTTTTCCTGGATAATCCCATCCAAAAACACAGCTCCTGCTAGAACCTGCATGCAAACGACTGTCAAACCAGCCTCAGGGCAAATCTCTTCTCTGCGATGGAAAGGCACACATTCAGTTGCAAGATGGATGGCTTTACTTTGAATCTGGATAAATTATAAACTCAACACTAAGCAAAACTGACTAGACTTACTCTTATCTAATTAATAGCTTTTTCACTGGGGGTGCGTAGTATGCATTTTATTTTATGTTTGTGTGGTGCTCATGTGGACATCAGAAGACAACTCCTGAGAGTTATTCTCTCCTTCTATGATATAGGTCCCAGGGGTTGAAACTCAAGTTTTCAAGGCTTGTTAGCAAGTACCTTGACTCAGTGATCTCACTGGCCCTACTTCCTTCTTGTAATGCATGGCACTACTGAGTACGTAAGTTAAAGGTTGAGATTTACCCTGGACTCTACTTCTTTTTTTTTAATTTATTATGTATACAATATTCTGTCTGTGTATATGCCTGCAGGCCAGAAGAGGGCACCAGATCTCATTATAGATGGTTATGAGCCACCAGGTGATTGCTGGGAATTGAACTTGGGACCTTTGGAAAAATAGCCAGTGTTCTTAACCTCTGAGCCATCTCCCCAGCCCTCCTTGACTTCTTTTTAAGCACTTAAACTTTTATTTATTTATTTATTTATTTATTTATTTGTTTATTTATTTATTTATTATGTATACAATGTTCTGTCTGGTGTGTATGCCTGCAGGCCAGAAGAGGGCACCACACTTCATTACAGATGGTTGTGAGCCACCATGTGGTTGCTGGGAATTGAACTCAGGACCTTTGGAAGAGCAGGCAATGCTCTTAACCGCTGAGCCATCTCTCCAGCCCCCTAAGCACTTAAACTTAAAAACAGACAAATTCCAACATTTCTCTCTTTTTTTTTCCAAGACAGGATTTCGCTCTAGCTTTGGGGCCTGTCCTAGGATTTGCTCTGTAGACCAGGCTGGCCTTAAACTCACAGAGATCCACCTGCTTCTGCCTCCCAAGCGCTGGGATTAAAGGTGTGTGCCCCCACAATTTAGCAAGTTCTGATATTTCTATCTCTTTTACATTATTATTTTTATTAATTTTCTTAGCTTTATTTTATGTGCATTGGTGTGAATGTACCAGGTCCCCTGGAATTGTAGTTACAGACAGCTCTGAGCTGCCATGTGGGTGCTGGGAATTGAACCCAGGTCCTCTGAAAGAGCAGCTAATGTTCTTAACTGCTGAGCCTATATGTCAATTTTCATGTAGATTTCTTTACTGGTTCTGACATACCTCTATACTGTAGAAGAGTGACCTCACTAAGGATAAGTGTGATCATTATCAAATCACATCCTTAAAACCTGTCCATGGCGGGTGGTGCCTCATGCCTTCAGTCCAAGCACTCAGAGGCAGATGGATCTCTGAGTTCAAGAACAGCCTAGTCTACACAGTGATTTCCGGGACAGTCAGGGCTATAGAGAGAGGCTCTGTTCCAAACTAAAACCCAACAACCAAAAAAAAAAAAAAAAACCAACCCAACAACAACAACAAAAAAAACTTCCTATGCCTTAAAATAAAGCCCAGCTTCCCTTTCCCTGACTCAGCACCCACTCACTTCCAGCTCTGACTAGCTAGCTACTCTTACTTCATTTTTCAAAGAAACAAGCCCCTGACAAAGGGACTGAACCCTGGGTGCTAAGCAAGAGTTCTATCATTATCAAACTACATCTGTACCTCCTTTAAAATTTTATTTTAAGGAAAGGTTTCACTGTATAGTCCAGGCTGGCTTTGAACTTAGACTCTTTCTGCCTCCTCAGTAGCTGGGATTGCAGGTGAGAACTACACACCCAGATTCAAATACTCTTTCCTGGGGACACCTGCTTTGTCCTTTAGGCCTCATTTGGATGCAAACTGACT